CCATGATGCCTGGAGAACAAAATATAAACATATCCCTATAGAATATAATCCCTGATATTGTTGAACTTCTCCAACTTTCAAAACACTCTCCCCTTTTCACACTAAACTCTACCACACTATCCACCATTTCAGTGATCAAATAGGTAAAGCTTGTTTCCATTTTGCTTAAAATGCACTTCCTCTTACACTTCATTTGTCTGGCTCCTTTCCCACATTTAGGACTCTCTGCCCATCTTTTCGTCATTCATTGCTATATATAAAAATCCTTGTTCATTTTCTCGTTAGCTCTTATCATAACACAAAATTATTTTGTTTGTTTCTGTGTTTACTTGTTTATTGTCTGACTTTTGATAATGGCATGAATGTTGTAGCTTCTACAGCCCCTGACCTAGACGGTGAGTGACACACAACACATGCTCACAATTATTTGTTAACTATGATGAATGAATGATACTTCACCCTTTAGAAATCATGGGACTAGATCACTAGCTTGAAACAAATACAAATTTTCAAAAATTTTGCTTCCTTTCTAGAAAGAAAGGATAATTATCTTAGATTTTCTAGAGCTTTATAGAGGATGACAGTGCTTCTCATTTCCTAAAGAGTAGGATATCCCTAGATATACAAATTCATATCTTGTGTAAGTTTAAAGAGTATGAAATACAGTCCACGCTAATATTGAAAATAAATTTTTTGTATTGTATTTTCCCCAAATCAGTGGAGAAACACTTAAAAGCTAGCTAAATTAATCCTCCAAAATATTACAGCTATAACAAATGTCAATATAGAGTGACAGAGGTAACTGCTGGGTGGTCTCAAGGGCCAAACGTTTGATGTGCTCTGTGGTTCAAGATGTGGTAATTCTTTGGCCACAGTACATGATGGCTTGAGGCTTTCATTCATTGTGTGTGGAGAGTGGAGAGCGTGGAAGATCTCCATATCAAATTCCTAACTACTAACCCAAATGAAGGTGAAAAGGTCTCCAGTAATGTTCACAGCATAGAGAAACAAAAATTAGAACAACAAAAGCAGTGACTAAAGGATAAATGTCTTTGGACCACGTGGATTAGAAGAGGACTTTTACTAGGTAAGCAATTATAGTGAAACTTTAGAGGTAATGAAAAAGGTCTAATTCTCAATTATTCAGTATTGATAAAAATGAACACAGCAAATTAGCTACAAAGAAATGCTAGCAGAAGCAAAGACAATCTGGTAAATGTTTTATGCCGTAGGTTGGATAATCAAAATGAAAATGTGGAAGAGTTTGATGAGGAATCATACAATTTAATGAGTAAAATCCAAGCTGTTGCCTATTTATTTTATTTAACCTTGGGAAATTAGAGCCATAGCACTAAAGAATTTGAGAAAAGACCAATTGTTTTTTTGTTATTCTGATGAATTAAATAGGTAATAACAAATCACTCACATTTGGAAAATTGATACTTGGAATAAATATTGCCCGAGAATCTTGGAAATGTGAAACTAAATAGCACCAGAAAGGAAGACAAACTCTCCTGTCCCTTGCTTTATTGTGACAATTTAATAATTTCACTAACATAGTAGAGACTCTGACAGGCAAAATTTTACAATATGAAGGGATTAGTTTTGGTTATCTACTGCTGCAACAAAATCACATCAAAATCCAGTGGCTTAAAACAATATTTTGTTATTTTTCATGCTTCTATGGGTTGACAGAACTCAACTATGTGGCTCCCCCTTGGGTTACATCAAGTGGTTGTGGTCAGATATTGCAGTCATCTGAAGGGATCTTAGGAGTGGATGCTGAAGAGGACTTGCTTATATGGTGACAGTTGCTGCTCATTATTGTCTGAAAACTCTTATGGTGCAGTCTACCAGAGTACCTATATGACTCACGGGGTTTTGGCTTCTTCCAATATGGCAACTGGATTCTAAAAGGAAGTGTCACAAGTAAGTACTCCAAGGGACACATAGCTGCCACTCTTAAGGACTGGGCCCGAGTACGTGCACATGGTCACCTCTTAATATTCTGGTGCAATGAGCAGTCATAGAATTTGCCTGATTTCAGAGGGAAGTGGCATAAATCTTCTCTCGCAATGGGAGAAGTGTCAAAGAATTTGTGGTCATTTTAAATTTTCCATCAAAGTAACACTCTTTAGTGACTTCTGGGAAATATTACATTCAAATAAGCATTTACAAGCAAAAATCTTACAGACTTTGGAAGATTTAATTCTCTTCAGCCACAAAGAAAATAACATTGGCATCAATGATATGTCATGTATCCATTTTCAAAGCTTCATCTGTAACGGAAATAGATCAATTGCATTGGTGTGTCCAGCCTATTGCAACATTGCTAGAATTTCTGCTCACATATAACACACAAAAATCTATTTATATTGATTGAAGAATATTGTAAACAGAAACATAATACCAAAAGCATCCTGACTTGATTTCCTGAAATTGGATTATCAATTGGATTGGAACATAGCCATATGTTTTTTCCATCTATGTATAAAAGACTTCAGGATGAGAAAAAATCATTTTCTGTATACCCTGAGAAATTTGACTTCAGTGACTCCACAGGACTGGTAGAATGGAAAATATGTCTGAGGACTAAGCTTACTGTCACAGCTTCATTGTCTTTGACTCAGGAAGGGGACTTGGAATATGAGTTCCAGGAACATGAGTTCACTATTCAACTATATCCCTGTATTGTCTGAGAGAGATCTCCGTGGGGGCTTGCAAATAATACATATGAATAAAAATGAAGGACAAGAAAAAAATTCTTTTTTTTTTGTCCAGAATTTTACCAAAGATATACCACAATATTTCTAGAACCATCTTATAAAACTTACTGGAAAATTAGATTGCTGCCTCAATTGCTAGATTCTATTGATCCACATGAATGACATCAGTGAATTTTGGAAACCTGGAAGAGCGTGAGTTAGAAATATTGACGGAAATATTGGGTCAACACATGTCTTTTGAGAAGACATGTATTTGTTTTATTTGGATTGTTTTTAGAGTGAGTTATTTTGAATTTAAAAAAGACTCCAGTTATGTTCAGAACTTCGAGCGCATAGGACAAAAAAAGAAATGACTGAGGGATAAAGACTTAAGTACATATTAATTCAAAGAAGTTATTTAAAAGATGACCAGTTATTGTGGAAATATTGGAGGTTATGAAAGTGACATCAGATTCTCAATTACACAAAGTGGATAAAAACTGATTTGTGGGGGTGAAAGTAGCAAACTAAAAAAAGAAAAGAAAACGCAGAATCTATATCCATTTAGTGGCTTTGTTCAGAGTCTGTGAAAACCTATATAATCTTTGAAAAACAAACACAAACGAATATGTTGTCTTTCACCTGAATGTAAACTCCCTGAAGGCAGAATATCTTTTCTGTGGTCCATCCCTCAATCTCTGATTCCTAGGACCGTGTCTGCCATGTAGTACATTCTCAAAAAATGCCTGTTGGAAAAATTTTGAATGAATATGAAACAAAAAAAAATCTATGGCAAACCACACTCCTGAAAACAATCCATTTTAATATACTGTTATTAGTAGCAGTAGACAATATTACTCTTGTTATTATTTAGAAACCACTAGAAAGGGGCTTTTAAAAGGAAATAAAATATCCAAACCATTCATCAGAGTTGGTCTTTGCTAATCTAAAATCTATCGATCCACACAAACACACACACACACACACACACATAGATATAACAAGGTAGAAAGTCTTATACAATGTAATTTTATTTGTTAAAAACTGGATGCCTTGCCTCAAAATCATGCAGAGTATTAGATGAAGACTGGATGAAAGGCATTTTCGTGGAACAGATTCTCATCGTCCTGCTTCAAGATTGCTGAATATCATGCTGTCCTCCTTTCACATCAAGCTTGGCCTGGGGGTCTGCCTCCCGATGTGAGTCAGATAACCTTTGTGAGGTCTCGACAAATCAGAAGTCCTAAGAAGGGACCATTGCTCTTGAAACCCAAAGACCTTTGTGCTTTTTTTCTCTCTTTGTCTCTCTCTCATAATCTTCCTCTCCAATGTGACTACATATTCTCTCTTTGTGTGTGTGTCTCTCTCTCTTTTTCTATATTTTCCGTGCTAATGGCATAATATCCACTGTGAGCAAGTCATGCAGGGGTCTCCAAATCTTTCAGTGTTTCCTCTGAGGGGAGGAAACATTGTTTTCTGGCTAATGTATTAGAAAAGTCAACCATAAATATCCTCTCATATTAAGATAAATAAAATTAAATATAAATCAAACGTAGGACAAGACGTAATTAGATTTCAAACTAAGATATTATGTGGAATAATATTAGTTCATTAAATTCATTCCATGGACTCCTACACAGGTGCTATGCGGGGGCCATAAATTTGTCTTTTTGAATTCTACCATTAATAGATACAACAATATTACTTTCTATAATATTTATTATTCAGACTTTTCAAAAATAAAATTAAAAAATATATATGCAAAGAATAAATGGGATTTTGTGTTAGAGGAAAAAATAATTATCCATCATATGTTAACTCTTCCTAAAATAATGCAAAATATTTAAATTTCATAATGAAGCTTGTGTATGTCCAAGCCCTCAGTGAAGAAAAAGCAGTTGAACCCGCTTTTAAAATCATTTTTTTTCCCTTTTTCTCCCCAAGGCCCCAGTAAATGGTTGTATGTCATAGTTGCACATCCTTCTAGTTGCCGTATGTGGGACGTGGCCTCAGCATGGCCCGACAAGCGGTGGGTCAGTGCACGCCTGGGATCTGAACCCAGGCCGCCAGTAGTGGAGCGCACGCACTTAACTTCTAAGCCACAGGGCCAGCCCTGAACCTGCTTGACATTGAGGCAAAACAAGGGAGGTGGAAGCAGCCTAACGACAAGCACTATTCTTGGCCTGGGTGCCAGGTACTGTACCCTCCGGCCCTTATGGATGGTCTTTCTACAGTCTCAAGTACTGGTTTAGAAACTCCTCAAGTGAGCTGAGGCAACAGTATGGTTTACTTACGTTGTTTCCTGTCTCTAAGGGTTCACTCTCCTTCACTGCCTGATATTCAGTATCTTATAAAACATTGTTTCATATATTTTGTCTTGTTTTTTGTTTTTGTATTTCTTGTTTGTTTTTGTTTTGGTCTTTGTTTTGTTTTGAGCAAGATGGCAACTCTGATCCTGTTGCTCCAAAAGCAGAAGTTTCTTTGGCTAAGCTCTGTGTACTTCAAGATAAAATAAGTGTACTATTCTCTCCACCTCCTAGGAATGCTGAACACTTAAATTATATTATTATAATTTATTATTTTATTCTATTTATAATTTAATTTTATCTTAATTATGATTAAATAATGAAAAATAAGGTACTTTTAATAGTATCTGAAACAGATTAAATGCTCAATAAATATTACCTGTTATTATGTTACTCGTTCTAGGGCTTACTCTCAAGTATGTCTACTGACTGACAAAGACTCTCTGCTTGACTAAACTTCAGTTGTGCTCCTCTGAGCCTTTTCCCAAGTAGGACTCAACATTTGGCTTCTGTGTCCATCCTTGCCAAGTCCAGTTTTAGCAAGAGTCTTGCTAAGTCAGTAGAGTGAGAATTCCCCCATCCTTGATATGTGATCAGCCTCAGTATCTGATCAAATTCCTCATTCCCATCCTTGATATCTGATCACCTTCATCTACCTTCATCAAGAATCCAGTGATGTGAGGTTAGCAAAAATTCTCCCACTCTGGATATCTTCTTGATTAATTTTCCAACCACTGAACCCCTCACTCTGCTCTTGGCTATAAATCCCCAGCTATCTTTGCTGTATTTGGAGTTGACTCTGGTCTCTGTCCCCTATTGTGATACTCCTATTGCAATTATCTGGAATAAAGTCTTCCTTACTGTTTTAACAAGTGTCAGAATAATTTTTTTCCTTAACACCACTTTTTAATTTTTTCCTCAATCCAATAATCCAGTTCTCACTTAATTTATGGTCCAGTCTACTTGCCTTCTATTTTCGTTCCTATTTCTGTTTGTATTGAAAACATTTCCACCTAATCCTTTAGTAGATCTAGGGGCTCCCTTGTCCCTGTGAGTCTCCCATACCTGAGAAGGAAATTTTGAATCTGTGTGTGATAGACTGGATATTTTGTCCACTGGTGGAATGTCTCTTCTTCCACGTCTGATTAACTTTAATGAAAATCTGACGCCACTACCATCACACTGCACATGTACAACTCAAACAGAATGTTTTGTCACCTAAGTGTGGTCCTTCCTTGACATCTTTCTATGTTGGCTACAATTTAACTATTATTTCTCATCAGTATACCTCAAGTTCTGCCATGAATTTCACTTTTTACTCTTCTAGATATTCAAATATGTGTTCGAGGCCTTTTTAATTATGAGAATATCTATAAAAGTGAAGAAAAATCACTAAAATTAAGCTTGTCATACATTTACTTTTTAATTTTACCATTGCATATCATTAACAATGACTGTAGATATTTTTAAAATCAAACATGTGATCATAACCAAATATAGACAGCCTATAGACATATTCCAATGAGTAGAATCAAATTATAAGAGTGGAATCAAATCATAAAATTGCTTATTTTATGACAATGACCTAGTTCCTTTATTTCTTGGTGTATATTAGTATCTCTATCTTGGGTCTTTTTTATTTCTTAGACTGTATCGTACTTCAAAGTATAGCAAGAGAATACTTAAGATCTGAAATAATACCTTGTATTTAAGAAAGAAAAATATACCTACTATTTGTAGTTCAATGTTGTATTGGTAAATTCTGATACTAAATATATTACATTTCTTACAGGGAAAAATGTTACAAGCCAGTTGGAGACTACTTTTCTCCACAGAGCATTTTCCTTTTGTCCTTTAAATAGTACTATAACTTATACAAGCATCACTTAGACCCTGTCCTATAATCACTGTATATTCAATATAAACATTTGCTTTGTGGCGTGTCACTGAGACTTCTGTTGGGCCCTAGAAGAAGAAATAAAATCCTCTTATTTTTCAGTGTAGACCACATTCCAATTGAATGTTCTCACATTTGTAACCTGAATTTGTACCTTATAATTACTGAAGAGTAGTTTTGTGTATTTAATATTCTTTTTTTTTTTTAGGTAGCATTATTGTATAAAACAACAAAATAGCCTTTCATTGACCTTATATTGAGTTATAATTTCCATGCTTTTGTGTGTTGAATTGAGACTGTCTTAATTAACTTGTTTCTTTGTATTGAACATTCCAAGATCCACAGGCAGCCACTTCTGTGTAACATTCAGTGGCAGAGAAATTTACAGGATATGTTCCAAGGGTACATTCTGCTTTGTAATAGTCAGTCATTCAACATAATCCAAGAATAGAATTTTTCCTCCAAAAGGTTTTTCAAAGTTTGTTGAATATAAGGAGTGAAATCAAATCATACCCCATATCTGAGAAGACCAGTGCATTGTTTAGACAACATGACCACAATTTCCGAGTCTCTCTGATAAACTATCATACTATAGTAAGTAAATTAAAATATTAATTGTCTGATTTAGAAGGTGGTGATTATAAATTGTTATGGCCAATTATCTTTTCCATTCACCCCTTAAGTGTCCAAAGAAAGCAAATAAAACATCTACTAAGTGGAAACCGGTTTTACAGGTAAGAAGAACCAATACTGGCTCCTTTCTCCTCAGTATCTGTCATATAATATCAATCTGGAGACTGTACTTCTCTGTACTACATACTTTCAAGGCGGAAGAAGATGGATGTGAATCCAGGTGTCATTCTGTGAAAAGGAGAAAACTACAGGTGGTGTATTATCTTCTCAGGTTGCCCTAACACAATATCACGAACTAGGTGGCTTGGAACAACAAACATGAATTTCTCACAGTTCCGGAGGCTGGAAGTCTGAAATCAAGGTGCCAGCAGGGCTGGTTCCTTCCGAGGGCTGAGAAGGAAAATCTGTTCCATGCCTCCCCCCCAGCTTCTGGCAGCCTCGGTCATTCCTCAGCTTGTATATGCATTCTCCCTGCGTCTTTACCTCTTCCCTCTATGAATTTCCCTGTGTCCAAATTTACCCCTTTATAAGAACCTGATCGTATTGGATCAAAATGAGTTCATTTCAACTTAATTGCACCTATAATGACACTATTTCTAAGTTAGGTTACACCCATGGGTATTGGAGGTTAGGGCTTCAACATCTTTTCGAGTGATACAAGTCAACCCATAGTAGGTGATAAAAGATAAAAGAAAAACCTTCTCAGCAATACACTCTAGGATTATAGTTTTCAACATCCTCTGGGAAAGATTTAGCAACTTCATAAAATATCCAAGACAATATTTAGCAGATTTATGTTTATTATATTCCTAAATTATGAGAAATTTTGCTAGACAATTGTGAAAACTAATTTATCATTTGGCTTAAAATATAAGAAAAAAGTAGTCAGGTTTGCCAAAAACAAACAAAAAAAATTATCAAACAAAAGTCTCCCTCCTCTCTCACCTGAAAGAAAGGAAATCCCCACCATCCGCCCAAAAGTGATAACTGAATGGTCACCACAGGAAGAAAGAAACAAAAGATCTACAAAACAGCCAGAAAACAATTAACAAAATAGCAATAGTAAGCCATTAACTACCAATAATTACTTTAAATCTAAATGGACTAAATTCTCTAATCAAAAGACAAAGAATGGCTGGACACATAGACTAATAGTGAAGAGATGGAAAAAGATATCCCAAGCAAACGGAAAACAAAAGAGAGCAGGGTAGCTATTCTTATATCAGATAAAGTAGTTTTTAAATCAAAAATTGTAACAAGAGACAAAGAAGGTCATTATATAATGATAGAGAGGTCAATTCATCAAGAGGGTATAACAATTGTAAATATTTATGCACCCCAAATTGAAGCTGCAACCACAAAACTCATAGAAGAAAATATAAGGGAAAAGCTCCTTGACATTGGCCTCGGCAATGATTTTTTGGGTTTGACACTAAAAGCAAAAACAACAAAAGCAAAAATCACCAAATGGGACTATGGTAAACCAAAAACTTTCTGCACAGCAAAGGAAATAATCAACAAAATGAAAAGGCAACTTACAGAATGGGGGAAAATATTGTAAACAAGAGAGTTGCTCATATTGACTGTTTTCAAAAAAAATTAACCAGGATTATGTTTATTTGTAATGATACTAATTGTTAATTTAACAATGTATTTAAATATAAATATTATGATTTATATTTGCATAAATAAAGAAGAACTGGTAGGAAATAAATTAAAACTTTAACCTAATTTTCTCTGGTGGTAGAGAAAACTCAGAGCTCCTCTCTGCCATATTCATGTCACTCAATCTATAATGAAGATAAACGCTAATGTAATTTGGTGAGTTTCAAGAAATTTAGGTGATAGAATATTAATCAAATTATACACAACAAGTATTGTGGCAAACTCTCTTGTCTTGTGCCTTCTTAATACTGCAAGGACTCACTCTTCTTGTCTTCTACTAACAACTTCAATTGGTTTACAGAAAGGGGGAGGGAACACGATGATTTATTCTCCATCCTATGATATTGTCCATTGTTTTGTCATGTGATTGATATGGGTTACTCTGTAACTTCAGTACAAATAAAAATCATTCATATGTTTTTATCTATACTATGGTAAATCTTTAGCATATAAAAAATATGTACTGGCCAAGGGAAAAGTTGTACGCAATGAAAATTTCTTATTCTATTCTCAAATATGGTAGTGATTTTATTAGCAAAATTTCGATGATTTAACTTTCTGCTGGATGGTATACCTCAAAACGTATTCTGCATAAGAATCAATTTACAGCTTTATGTAATTATTAAAAAGAAAGATTCCCATGATCCATAACAGATAAACTTAATCAGTACGTATGTGAGTTGGATGTTGATTGTCTATGTCAAGCAAACTACCACAGTACTTTGAGAATCACAGAGCTAGAAGAATAACTCAAATATACCTTACTAAGTTACTTTAAATGACAGTCCACTGACCATACCTTAAATTCCTTCTTAAAATTAAGCTAAAGAGCTCGAGAAAAGACGA